TTTTAGACACAAGTGAGTGTGACCTTCGTGCATTTCTGTTACTTTGTGTTTAGGAGTGAGAAAATGTGGTAAGAAACTGGAATGTATATAGCATTACTCTTACATTTTTGGCTAATAATCTGTAAATTTTTTAGAGAGAGTTTCTTGTAATTGGTTATATGATTTAATGCTTCATTCTTGCATTATATTTGCATATTATATGAAAGTACTTATTTATTTTATCTATGTTCTTATATGTTAATGTATCTGATATGATACAAAAAGATTTAAATGCACAATAATACATGATATAGAAAACGGATACAATGATACATGATAGTTATCACAATTCAACAACACTGGTCCATTTGTAGCTGACTTTTCCTGTCTTGATTTAAGGTTACCATGTTGGATGCTTTGCATGTGTCTTGACAGTCAACCACCATATGTATTCAAAGATTTTTCTTTATTTTTAATTATGCTTTATTATTGCATAATCAACTATTTCATATTATGAAGGTGCTAATATCAATATAATTCTTTTTAATAATCGTTCATGCATTTTTTATTTATTTATTTTGGGAGCAAATTACAAAAAAAACACAGGGTTCGACCCTTCTAACATATTAAACCTTGAGATTTTAATTTCTTCCATTTAAGCCCTAATATTTTCACATGGTATTAATCCCATCCACTTGTCCATCTCTGTTAAGTACAACTAACAGAAAATGGGCATTTATTCATTACACCCCCTCACCCCTCTTGCCACTCACTGCCAACATTGCCACCGCCTACCAACAGTCTTGCCCCGCTACACCGTTCCTTCAGCTCCACCATCTCCACCCTACTCTACCTCCCAGCAGCCCTCTCTGCCTCCCCCACTTGTCACCCCTTCCTCCAGCTCCACCATCTCTACCCTACACCACCTCCCAGCCTTCCCCTGCTGCCCCATCCACCATCTTTGGCTTACTCTGTTTCTGAACAACCCATCCCACCACCCACAACCCACAACCCTTTCCTTACCCACCATCTTGCCACTGCAGCCCCTTTCCACCATTGACGTACCACTGCAGCGCAAATCTAGATTAGGTGATGAATCAAATAATCTCGATCTCTGTGAATTTCTTTTACGTGTGACAGATCTCAAACAGGCGGTGAATCTCAATCTTGTTGAATTCGACGATGGATGGGAATAGTGAATCTCCCATCACCATCTCGAATCTCTTTGATCTTCCCAACCACCCAGATCGTGTTGGACGTTGGCAAATCTGACAGCAAGTTGGTTGATCTCGAATGGGGCTCTATTGAATATGGAAAAATCTGTAACGCCCTCAAAAAAAGAAATCCATCATAACATACATTCACGATAAAGAGAAGATATTTCATATTGCAATCATCAGAGTATTCTTACAAAAAGTATTACATGTTGACAACAAAAGTAAATGCCCTATAGGCTTACAACTTTCCAAGTCTAACATTTGGTTACAAAAAGGAGAGTACTAACTCTACACAAAATAAGCCCTTGGCTTGATATACATGTAATACAACAAAAACAACAAAAAAGAGTCTAACAGCCTCAAGCCTCCCAAGTTACGTCATTAGAGGTGGCATAACACCTGTACCTGAAAATGATGTCCCATTTAGGGTGAGCCAACGCTCAGTAGAGATATGGTAAACATAATGTGCGATAACTAAAACATTAGCATTTGATAAATGTTTAACTCACACAAATCAATTCATAATTCGTTTCAATTACATGACAAATATGTCTATGTTTCATTTCTCTTTCCTTTACTTAACTGATTCTCAATTCATAACCGTGGTTCAGAACCTGGCCAAACTATTTAAGTGAGATTACATCTCATATCAACAATACTTCCATACATCACAATAGATACACATATTCGCTGTATCAATATTACACAAAAACTTTCATACTTCACAATAGATAACACATATTCGCTGTATCAATACTTCAATAGATACACATATTTGCTGTATCAATGGAGTACATCCCCTATCTCCTCCCAAACAATATCCGGTTTAAGAGTCCATCCCCTATCTTCCCCTAAACCGTGGAGTACATCTCCTATCTCCTATCTCCTCCCACACAACACAATGTATATAAGCATCTATCATATACATGTTCAATCAATACACAAATTTGATGTATTATTCCATTCATCATAATCAATGACATACAACCGATTAGTTTTAATTCGCCTAATCATCATGCAATGTCTACAACAATCAAGACTATCCTCCACCGATAGACCAAAGCAATTATTTCTAAACAGACAATAATTATATAAACAGATAATTTATCAACAATTTCAAAGGCGAGTGATTAATGAATCCAACACCACCATTCTATCTCATAGTGAGCCAATTTCATTATTTCTACTCAATTTCATATTTCCATAATAAATGTCATTAATTACACTAATGACCCAAATATACCCAAATATGGCATTTTCTCCCTTTCCTCAACATTGACCCAAAGGTCTAAATATTATCAACAACATCAATAACCTCCTTCTTAGGCCCAAAACACATATGTTTGAATCAAAAGAACAAAACCCCTCTTTCTAATATAACACATCTCAAACTCTAACTTCCCAAATCAAACCATTTATACAAAAAGCTCAACATTTAGGTTAAAGCTCATAAAAATGAGTAGTTATCTCTACCTCAAAGTCGGAGCTCAAAGGAAGAAGGTGAAGAAATTCGAAATGCTCCAAATCCCAATATTTTCGGATCAAAATGTAGCCCTTAACAAGCTCCACACTTTTTACAAAGGCCCAAGGGTAGAAGATCACTCCTACTAGATCAAACCCTAGAGAGAAGTTGGAGTTTTAGAGTGAGGTGCTCTCCAATGGAGGTTTTGAAAAGTAACAGAGAGAAAGAAAGTGTGAAAAGTGATTTAAAATCATCCAGCTGCCATCTGATATACGACTAGTCCGCTCGAGCGTCAAGTACAAAAACTGGACCTGCTCGAGATCAAGAATACCCGCTCGAGCGTTAAGACACAACTGCAAAACACACCCGCTCGAGCGCAAAGAGAAACCCGCTCGAGCGTAGATTACTCTCTCCCAGTATTTTTACAGACATTGAACACCCGCCTGAGCGCAAAAGGTCCGCTCGAGCGCGACCTGCTCGAGCGTAAGGAAATCTGCTTGAGCGTGAAAAACACATCTGCAGTACTTTTGCAGACGGACAAACTACTGAAGGTGTGCAAACTCCGCTCGAGCGCGAAGGGATCCGCTCCAGCGGACCACCAAAAATCTGGGCAACAAGGAATGAGACTAAAGCTCAACCAACCTGTTCGAAACACGCCCAAGACATTTCTAAACTCCAATCGAAAGCATTAGAGGATGGAAATGAAATATAGACAACCACAACTATCAACGGAGCCGAGTCCGGAATACAGTAAATAAGGAAGGGAAAACCGGGATGGCTATAAAATCTGTGGGGCGTGTGAACCAATGTAGTCAACCTCGTGGTATTATTGATGATGAATGGTTCTGATTGGGTAAATAGTTGATAAATGGTGATTGTGATTTGATGTGATCACTTTTAAAGTTAGCATTACCATTAAATTTAGAAAACAAATAATAAAGTGACGTGTGCTGCAAAACAATTTTCTGTTAGTTGTACTTAACAAAGATGGGCGGGTAGTTGACATTGAGACCAAGTTAAAAGATCGGGGTTTAAATTGAATAAATTAAAATCTCAGGGTTTGATATGTTACAAGTGTCAAACCTTGTGTTTGTGGTTTATTTATTTATTTTTTTAAATCATGCTTTTTTATTATTATTTGTTTATAAGATAGTTATAATTTAAATTTACAATCTTGTTTTTGGAAATTATATACTTGTTAATCACCTAGTGTTATGAGTGCAAATGAGGTTTCTTGAGTTTGAGCAGCAAGCAAAGGCAGCCACAGGAGAGTATTAGGAAGAGTTAAGAACTTGTCATTCCCATTCTAAATCTTTGTAGGGAAGAGTTGAGTGCTTATCATTGACATCCTAAATCTTAGTAGGTAAGATTTGAGAGCTTGTGATTCCCATCCTAACTCTTTATTCTTGAATGCAACATATTCAAGACGGGAAAATGAAAATTAAAGAAAGGGAAAAGTCTATGAGAAAGTTATAACTGGTGAAACAAAATTATTAATCACATAAACAATCGATCAAGCTGCTTTGTGCACCGTCATTTTTTATATGCTAATATATATATGCATCAAATTGTTTATGTCAGTGTTATTAAAGGCATAGGCGCACTAAAGCGCCAAGGTTTCCTAGGGCCTAGGTGCAAGGCGAGGTGCAGCCTTCATCAAAACATGGCTCATGTTGATGATAAAAAATAGATAATTTAATACATTAAAAAATTGAGGGTTCAACATAAGTAAAATGATTCATCCAAAAAAAAAAAGTACATTGAAAAATTAAATATTTTAAGGTAATAAATACCAACAAACACCACTATTTTGTCATAGACAAGGTACACATAAACATGAACATCTAATTTAGAAATCATAAATATTTGAAAACAACAACGAAGTGGAAGTGTTGAACAAGAGAAGCACATAGAAGGTGAAGGAGGAGATGAAGAAGAAGAATGACAGCTTTCAGTTTGGTGAAAGAGAAAGCTTTATCGAGTTTTTGTGTAATTGGGGTTTAAAAAGTGTTGGGTTGCACTGTATGTTTCGGGGTTTTATCCCCTTTAGCCGCATGTAAACAAAAATACAATGAGATTAAGTGAAATAAAGGGTTGTAATTGTAATAAAAAAACATTTTAAAAGATGCGCACAAGTTTAAGCCTAAAGCGCACACTTTCATGTGCTTTTATGGGGCCTGTTTGACATTGCTTGGTTTGAGATATTCCAAAATGCACTGACCATGCCTTAGGCCTAGGCAGGCCTTTTAATAAAACTGGTTTATATTACTACATTTATGTCCTTTTATCATTTTTGGAATCTCAATTAAATTAATTTTTGGTTACCTTCTTTTGATTGGTAGTGTCCAGATACAAATTATTTGTTTATGGGAGATTATGTTGATCGTGGCTATTATTCAGTTGAAACTGTAACGGTAAGTAAATATTTTTTCTTTTATTACTATCGTAAAACAATTGGCTACCCGACTATACATAATAACACAACGATGCCTCTGTTTCTCAGCTTGAGTCATAGTTATCAAATTGAGAATCATATCGTGAATTGAAATCTTAATCTTGTGAATCGTAAATCAAATCGAGAATCGGTTAGTTTTAGTATAAATTATACAAAATAACGTTAAAAAACCATATGCATGAAAATGAATGAAATAAATTAATTTTGATATATTTATAAAGTAGTTTTTATATATTGATATGATTACACCGTCTAATTGGGAAAGTATTGCCTTCATAGTAAGAGAGGTGGTTCCTAAGTACATTTAAATGTACTTCGGAACCCTATATAAAGTAAAATAAAAAAGAGTTAAGTGGAATATTTTATTTAAAACCTAGAACACTTAAAAATCATATATAATATCTCTTGACATTTAAAAATGTACTTAGGAATCCTATATAAAGTATAATAAGGAAGAAATTAAGTGGAATATTTTATTTGAAACCTAGAACATTTTAAAAGGTGTGTATGTTTATTTTTCAAAAAAAAGTTAAAAAAGAAAAAGAAAAAGAAAAAAACAGTTGTGGAACCATTTTGTCTGATTGACCTAATCCCTGTAATAGTCAACCATATTTATTTTACTAAAATAGCAATAGATAATTCATGGGTGCAAAGTTACTTTAACCTTAAACATTCTTACAAGATATATACATTTTTTTAATTAAAAAAAAAGAGGAAAAACAAAAGTAAAGAACATGTGAATCAATTGTGAATTGTGTGATTTGCTATTAATTTATCTAAAAATACATTTGCCTATAGATTCGTATCAATCTATGCATGAATCGATAATTGAATTGCGAATCATAAGATTTTGATAACAAAAATGTGAGTTACCAAGTGAAACAGGTCTTACCTTGAATTTAGTTTATGTTGTCGAGGTGTTGCAACTGTTGTTCTGATACTGATAAATTCATGTGTTTAGCTTCTGGTGGCCCTGAAAGTGCGCTATCCCCAGCGAATTACTATTTTAAGAGGAAATCATGAGAGCCGGCAGGTATACTCTGGTTCTGTTTGTTGATTGTTACGGTTCTCTTTCTTGTGCCACCTTGATGACACTTGAGTAGAATTACAACCAGTAGAAGGACCTGCATGAAAGCTTCAGTTAATTGTACCCTTAGACAGTGTAATTTGATTTAATAATCGTTTTGTCTTCTTTTGTATTGGTCTAACCTTTTTTCATTTGCATTTAAAATTTCTTTTGCCCATTATTTCATGATTTATGAATTGTTTGCTACGCACTGGATGATTGTGCTGAGTAGTTTTTATTTTGGATTGCAGATCACTCAGGTTTATGGGTTTTACGACGAATGCCTACGAAAGTGAGTTCCTCACACCCTTTCTAGTAGGAGGTTATGTTTTCAATGGAGTGATGATTTCATGTAGATGTACTTGGCAGCTTAAACTTTTAAGATGCAACCTTGAATCTCACGGCATAATCTTAGCTTGGTATTCCATAGTATCTAATTTTTATTCAGTCTTTATTTCTCCTTACTTAAAAGGTTTCTTGTGAATAGTCAGACTTTGATTCGGACACCCCGGTGCCGATCCAAAAAAAAAAAAGAAGAGATTTCTTTTGAAGTTTGGCAGTGGTAAAATCGAAAATCTTATTTAAGTCCCTATTATTAATGGAAAATTGCCTATGTTATTTTTACACAAAAAAGGGTAATAGTTATGGAGGAAGAGATCTGTATAACTACGCATGGTGTGGAGCCGTAGAGGAACTCCAGTTGTGTTTCTTCTGAGTCCATTCTTTTCTTTCCCTTTATTTTGTAAATGATCAACCCTAGTCAATTTTCTGTACTCCCTCTAGTTATTGTTCTCTGTAGATGCAAGAAAAAATAGAAACAAGAGGTCTAAAAGAAATCCATATGAGAAGCAGATACTTATCTAAAAGAAATGCTATCCAGTGAATTTTTTTTTTGGTTATTCAGAGCATAGTATTGCACTTGAATGTATCGAATTTAAGGAATGTGGTTTGATGCCCAGAATGACTCAGTCCCCTCTCTATGAATAGTTTAGAGTTGTAATTGGGTCAACAAGGAATTGAATTATGCAATTAACAAAGACTTCCTTTGTTTTTTGTTTTTTATTTTTTATTTTTTTATAAATCCTTTGAAGGAAGCCCTGCCCTCAGAAATACTTTCAAGTTTCTAAAAGCTGCACCAATTAGTAGTCATATCTGCACACACTATTATGATTACAGAAAATGCCTGCATGGTTTCACCGTCTAGGTGGTTTCTTTGAAAGCCTCAATTCTAGATTATTGGAATTTATTTCATTGTTTAAACTAGTACAGATCGTGATATTTAAAACTTGTTTGAAGTATTTGTTCCAATCTGATGTACTTGTTAGTAGATTTTGTTTTTGCTAGATTGGAAGTGGACGATGAGTTATGGGAGTTATTAAATTCCTAATTAATGTTTGAATTATGTGTTGTTGCAGACTAGTGATAATTTTGTTCGGGTTGCGGTCAATTGCTACTTTTTCTGAAGTGATTAGTTAATGAGGCTCATATTTTTCAGTAGGTTCTAGGTTATGATCTGTGTTGTGTGTGACTCTGCTCTCTTTACTTGGCTGTAGGGCTGCAACTTAGCAGGTTTGGTCAGGCTAGAAGTGTGAGTAGGCCTAGCCTAAGTTGCGCCAGGACTCACCTTAGCCTGAACACAGTCCAAACTTGATGATCTGAAGTTCGAGATACTCCAAACCAAGCCTAGTTCGAGCACTCGCCTTAGCCTGACCATAGTCCAAACTTGATTTCAAGCTCGAGATACTCCAACCCAAGCCTAGCTTGAGCTTAATGAGCTTGAGTTAGGCTTCTGGTTTTACCTGAATTCGGACTAGTTTTACATTTCCATAATTTCAACGGACATTCAAGCTTCAAAAAAGGAAAAAAAGAAAAGATCAACGATGTCATTGGTAGATCAGCTACAACATGAAAATTCTTGATCTCTTAATGTGATCACAAATTTTGGACTGTATATACGTAAATATGCATACATACATACATACATACATATATATATATATATATATGAGCACTTATGTAATATGTATGTGTACCCAATGCAAAATCCTGAGCCAAGAAATTTTGATGGGTATGCCTGCCATGTTGGTGGGCCAAGTCCTAACAGTGTGTAGTTCTGTATTGCTACAGGAGGCAACACTTGCCCTTTCCGTGGTTGTTGATAGCTAGAGGAGGTGTTAAGAACTAGTTAAGGTTCCCAACTTCCCATGTTTGTAAGCTGTTGTGATTCAATTTGAGCCTATGTGGGTTGTTAAGATATAGACACTTTCCTCCGTAAAATGGTTGATATTAAATAAAAAAAGAATGTAGTTTTATAGGATATAAAAAAACACATTGTAAATTTACACCCATCACATGGTTGTTAGAATCTTACGATTCACAATTTGATTCAGTACGATTCAATACAAGTTTCAACCAAAATGATTCGATTCGTGCTATTTAATTTTAAAATTGAGTGAATTGTACGATTCAATTGTGATTCAATATGATTCACTACAATTCATTATGATTGAGTTCTCTTTGTATTATTTATGAAACGTCATTTTTGTAAAACAAAAAAAGAGTTCAATTAATTCTATTGATATGCATGATTTTATATGTAAATACATATATTTAAGGTTGATATTAAATAAAAAAAGAATGTAGTTTTATAGGATATAAAAAAACACATTGTAAATTTACACCCATCACATGGTTGTTAGAATCTTACGATTCACAATTTGATTCAGTACGATTCAATACAAGTTTCAACCAAAATGATTCGATTCGTGCTATTTAATTTTAAAATTGAGTGAATTGTACGATTCAATTGTGATTCAGGCCTCGTTTGGGAACAGGCTAATTTAGTACCTTTTTGGCTATTTGGCTAAAAAGGTAGGTAAAAAAAACTTGTATGTTTGGGATGAATTTTTGGCTAATTACGAAAAGATGTGCAAAAAGTAGAGAGAAAAGAGAATCTTTGACTTTTTAGTATGAGTTGTTGGCTTTTTGGCTAATTTAGTAACTTTTTGACTAATTGGCTAAAATAGCCTCTTGCCAAACGAGGCCTCAATATGATTCACTACAATTCATTATGATTGAGTTCTCTTTGTATTATTTATGAAACGTCATTTTTGTAAAACATAAAAAGAGTTCAATTAATTCTATTGATATGCATGATTTTATATGTAAATACATATATTTAATTTAGTTATATTGAATAGTTTATTTTATTTTATTTTAAAGAGTGTATTTCTATATGTATATACCTATATAAAATTATTTATTATGTTAAATAAATTGGATCTTACAATTCATGATCCACTATTTTAGCAAAATGATTCATAATTCGACAACGATGCACCTATATATAATTACATGTTAAATACTGAGTATGTATACATCTTATATTTTTTAGGCTTTGGTTGGGTTGGGTTGGCTTGGTTTGGTGTCATGGGCCGACTCTTTCGAGTACGCAGCAGAATGAATTTTTACTCGTGTGGTGCTCAAACTCCACTTAGTTCAAGCCTGCCAATCTATTTTGACAATCAAGTGTTAAATATTCACCTATCTTGACATATGTAGGCCCACTGCTTTGTTGAGCAAGAACTACTCGATGAAAGAAGTCCCACATTTTAAATGCCGCCCTGTTGGCATGCTTGTCTCAGGCTGCGTATCCATATGGCCAACCAGTTGCTTCATTGCACTGAGCTTGCCGAGCAAGGTGCTTGCTCCACCAATGGGTCCAAAGTCGTCAAGGCGTCCTTTGCCAAACGACTGCAAACAACAAAAAGTGTTGCCACAATTAAGCCACCATGAGGTTGACCACCTATATGCTAGCTTAGGCCCCCAATCTAGCTAACAAGCTTCCACGCATGTATTGGGTCTCTTGTTGCACGCATCTCGAATATCCACGTGGTTCTCCTTTGCCCCCACACATGATTGAGGGTCATTTGTGTGCCCATAACTTTCTCCTCGTGCCCGCTTTAACATTCTAAACCGTCCACCAAGGGCCATTGTGTGCCCAAGGCGTTGCACTTGCGTGTTACACGAGTAAGGCAACATTGGTTCGTGGCCCACTTATAGCATTACCCTTCCCCACAAGCTTTGCACAAGGTGGCTCGCATGATGGTTGAACTTCATGCATTGCAAATGTTCACACGATTAGCGGCGTTGCCACCGAACTGCATACTTTAGGCCATGAGACCCTGTGTGCATGAGAGAAGCCAAATGCATGTCCTTGAGTAGGCACACGAGGCTTTGGTGGCACCTTGATAGCCCATTCGGTCTAGGATGACACTGTATGAGATAGGATGCGTTGCGTAGTGAGTGCATGTCCCAAACCTCAGGGCTAGGACATACCTGCAGTGTTGACACTCATGCCTCTCGTGACACCGTTAGGTGCCGAAGGTCCGCCCCTAGGTTATCCTAGGGTTACTCATTTGAAGTCCACTCTTGGATGGGGAGACAGGCTGACACACACCATACCCCCTTATAATATCATTCTTAGCCTTTTGTTGACTGATAGGAAGGAACATCAACTATGTTTTAGGAGTCGTAATGAAGTTTTATTAATTACACAAATCATGAAAAATTCCAATCTTCAATTATGGAAAACTACTTAACTCCATGAGTTCCCAGTAAAAATTTCATGTCAAAACCCTATTGTTTGACCCTCATATCCTTGTGCGAAAAGCTTAGTCAGGATGCCACATTGGGCTTCCTTACATGCACTGCGTGCAGTCTTGGGTGTGTGTGTGCGCACAACACTGGGCATGCTATTTGACATGCACGTGTTGGACTACTTGGGGCCGTCCTCCAGGCCACGTTGGGGTGTCAACCCATTGACTTGGGATCTTGATGTTGCACGCATAGGCACTCCCAAATGCCTTTACAGAGCACTCCAAAGGCCTTTACAGAGCACTCTAAAGGCTTCCACACCTACAAAATGTCACGGAGTTGGACTTGAAAGGTCAAGTTGTGACACTTGGCCACTGCCTTTAGTTAGGCCTGGCTGAAAATAAGAATCGGGCTTTTTTGTTTTTAGCCCAAACCCAGCTGAAGTTTTGAAGGAGTCTATCCAAGCCTGAGAAAAAGATAGGTTACTTCGGTTCAACTTGGCCAATGGATCGGGTTTTTTCACGTTTTGTGCGTGATTTCTTAATTTCAAACACGACTAGTTTAGTGATACAACTTCATACTTTACCCTAACCTTTATAGTTTTGACCTACCTATGTGTATACTCTCCCAAACATTTTTCTCTTAGAATTGCGCTGGGTCAAATGCAATTGGGTCGGGGAATTTTGCCATACCTAC